CTTCAAAAAACGAGAACCAGATAAAAAGGGACCGGGGGAGTATGCTAGTGGCCATAACTACAAGACAATCAGGTAATGGCACCTATGCCATGGCTGCCAACCTACCTGATTAGAATTTCTGTTCTAATAGCATCTCCAAGAGTACCTAATAATTTCTTCCAAAAAATATGATGTTTTCCAACTCTCAAAGAAGCATTGGGAGGAATAAATAAGACCATCTCCAACGGTTTTCAATATTTCACTCCTAAAATATAGAAGACAATTTTACATCAGGAATCCTATACTATTTCTAAATTATCCCAACCACTTTTATATGTTCTTTATGTCTTATACATTTGCATCAAGAACCATTTCCTACTCTTTATTCTTTTTCTACCCATCCATCTTTAAATTGGCCGAAGAATACGCACTCAGATCAGGAGGGGATACGCGCGACCTGAGGTCCGCGCATCTTTACGCACAAGGGGGATTTTTTTTCCAAGTGCCAAAAGATTGGGAGGTGGTATTGGGAGCTGTTGGAGATGGGTTTTTTCTTATAAATCGTGAATTGGGACTGTGTTTTGGGTACTCTTGAGATGCTCAAGGACCGCACAGAATAAGCTGTGTACTGTCTTCCGATGGTAGAGACTAGGGCCTTCGTTTTTTATTCGTTTAATGGAATATTTCTCTTTTTTTGAAAAAAAAAGGACCACATAGGCTATTGGAAAAAAATGATGGCCTTGATTTGATCCCCATGCGATCGAATGGGCCAGGTGGTTTGTGCTAACCAGCTACTAGCAACTAGCATCACACAACATAAAGGTATGCTGATTGCGTTAATATTCGGGGATGCATAAATAATGGCATACAGAGCCAGTATGCTATAAGAACCAAACAGTGATCAACCCTATGATAAAATTATTTGCAGCATCACATCCATCCATCGGTTTGATAACTTCATAGCATACCATGTCAACTGGGAGCTGTTGATATCTTGGTAGAACAGAAGTCCACGACACAAACTTATTCGGCGTCTATTGCTTTCCATAAAGAATAATAAAAATTCAAGAGCAGTACGTATAACAATATGATGCAAGGCCTTAGAACGGCCCTTCCACCTCTACCTAGCATGAAGCACAAGAGCATAAAAATTCAAGAGCAATATAACAATATGACATACAATTTGTGCGTAGTGTTCGTGCAAATGACAATGATAATTAAATTCCATGATCCAAAATAAATGTCAGTGTAATAAAGGATTAATCTTGTATTAAAAGTAAATAGGAGATTGACTCAATTTAAATATATGACTATTATGTGCACTGTTGTGAGGTCACCCACATATGGAATAAAATACTGGATCCTCACGTCATGCTTAAGTTTGGACGGCTAGACTATGACATAAATCGAGCGGCACTAACGCAGACATAAGTGAGGGAGGAGTGAGAGATAGATAGATATGCAAGAGAGTTTAATATTAACTATAGGTACATCTCTTATAAAAAAACTATAGGTACATCTGTGTTCGTTTAGCGAAAAAATCATATGTACTACTGCTCAAAGAGAAAGAGTTCTGAGAATTTTTATTCAAAACACAAACATAAGCGTTCATATTCACACAGTTTGTGGTATGCGTGCGTATGACGGATTTGATTGGTGGTCTTGTGTGCGGCTGTGCCGTATATTTGGAAAAAAAATGAACACTTGAGACTGACGCCAGACTTAGTAGCAACCACGGATATATGAGACCACTTTAACAATTCTAGATCTTTTATTTTCTACATACTTAGTAGTTCGAGAAGTTTAACTCAAAAGAGTTAAAAACTGTCAACTAGATTTTTTTATTTTCTACATACTTAGTTGCTCTGAGAATTTTTTTTGTACAACACAAACATAGTTTACAGCCTCAGCCACAGCCGTAGCCGCTGCGTTGCAAAAAGTGCAGCCAGGCAAATTCTTTGGCTTTTCTAAATACACTATTTTTACTATATATTTAGATATAGTATATATCTAAGTGAATAGTAAAATATATGTATTTGCGAAAACCTTTTGTAATTTAGAACGGAGGGAGTTCTACTCAACTAGGCCTTGTTTAGATGGGTGTTAGAAATCAGTATTTGGCAATGTAGCACTTTCGTTTGTATTTGATAATTATTGTCCAATCATGGCCTAACTAGGCTCAAAAGATTCGTCTCGTAATTTACAATCAAACTGTGTAATTAGTTATTTTTTTATCTACATTTAATACTCCATGCATATGTAGAAAAATTTGATGTGATGGAGAGAGAGTGAAAAAACTTGAAATCTAATCAAGACCCTAGTCCTAAACGAGTGAGTGCTTCTATTTGCAATGAAAATTGCTCCGGTCCTTTCTACTGCTAATGGCACACATGCCATGGCTGCTGGGTGCCGGCCTTACCTGAGAGCTACAAAGGGCTCTGCACGTACAAGAGACCTGGTTATCTGAGAGGAGGATGTGGTGGCATTGTAGCATGAGTTTTTGGGAGAAAAATGGGAGAAAACCTGCAGTGCACTGTACAGTAAAAATAAATGGGATTGGGGGTCATGTACCAATTGATTAAGGTTAATAACTGGTAGCATGATTAGTCTAACGACCACAGAAAATTATATACTCGGTCTATTGAAAAAAAAGTACTCCCTCCGTCCCTTATTAACTGTCGTTCATGCTTCCAAAAATATAACTTTAACTAGATTTATATAAAAAATATTAATATTCATGATATATATTTCATATTGTTAGATAGATCATTGAATCTATTTTTATAATAAATTTATTTAAAGATACAAATGTTGCTAATGTTTTCTATAAATTTAGTCCTACTTACAACACACAAATCAACACCAACAAATATTTAGAGATAGAGGAAGTATATATCATGGCCTTGATTTGATTGATTCCTTAGGAGTTGGGATGGGAATGGACCAGGTGGTTTGAGCCAGCTAGCATCAAACTATAAGGTTTCGTTGCATTAATATTGAGTAGTAGTACATAAATGCACTTCCTCTTTCTCTACACGGACAATCATAAATGCACTTCCTCTTTAGATAGTCTCAGACTTTTATGTCGATAACTGTGATAACAGGTTTCATCTAGATAAAACTCTATGAAAATCTCTATCTCTCTTCATAATTAAGTTGCTAACAGAGTAAATTTGCTGATGTTTCACGGCATTAAATGAGAACAAAACTCCTTTGAAGCTCTATTGAGACTAGGCTAAAAATTTGTTTTACTACACTTAATCCACCGGAAACAAATGGATTGGAGTGCCGCAGTCAAACAAGTCTTAAGAAAGTCATGTTGCATTTTTCCTAAAAATCCTCATTCTAACCTGTACAGTAGACATCATCAACTGGGGGGCCATGAGCACTCCTTTGCATGGTTGGCGAACCAATCCTTGGATGGGCGGACAGTAAAAATGGCGCCAACCAAACCATGCATGCGGTTAACAACGAGAATTTGAAAAAAATTACGCAGTCCCAACTCAGGACTATAAGATACGGAGTACTTGCCAAGTCATGTAGACAGCATAACAAACGCCATATTTCAAATTGATAGCTTTTTCAAAATATATTTTGTCCAATCACATCGCGTATCTTCTACCTCCTATCATCCACCTATTACATCTCTTTTTATTTTGGTTCTCGTATACACATGGTTTCTTATATAAGAAACCATTTCCTTCTCTCTCTTCCTTAATTCTAATACCACATCACTAATTTGTTTATATGACACCGTAATTAATATCCATAGAATCATCCTAGTTTCTAGGATGGGATTGCCCTTACACAGACGGACACCTATTTCATTTTACCTTCCCACTAATTATAATGATTAGAGTGACTTCTAGTTTTTGGGGACGGAGCGAGTAGTTGTGGCCAAGAACCTATACTCAGAGCATCTCTAGCGCCTCACCAATAATGCATCCCCAATATGACAGTATTGGTGACCACCAATACTACTTTTTTAAACTATTAGAAGAGTTGCTGTAGCAGATCACCAATATATTAACCCCAATATACACTGGTCTGCTTGTAACTTCTCCCCACATCTCTGTACTGTTTGGCTACACGGCCTCTTGTTCCTATCCGCCACTGCCCCTGTGATTCCTTCCACGCGGGCAACCTCCACTGCGACCTCCTTATCTGCTCCGCCTCGTGACTTCCTCTTCGAGACCTCTACCGCCACCTCCTTCCCCGCTCCACCCCCACAACCTCCTTCCCCGCTCCGCTCCCGCAGCCTCCTTATGGGGACCTCCACCGCGACCTTATTCCCTACTCTGGGCCCATGATCTCCTTCCCCGACACATGAAACACATTTCATCCCATGAAACATTTATCTTATCTCTCTTCATTAATAATACGTCACATCAGCTTATTTAGTGCTCATAAAACTCTATGAAGCCCCATTGAGACCGGCCTAATGAAAATACTGAATTTTACATTCAAATATATATAGACACAATCCACATCCAGCGTGTCATAGTTGAAATTATTTGCAGCATCACATCCATCCGTCGCTTTGATATCTTCATAGCGCTCAGGTCCCACAATTGGGGATTGAGCGGTTGATATCTTTGTAGCGCTGAAGTCCACGACAATTGTTTTAATTTGCACAGAGAAAGTTTTTTTATTAAAAGTTCAAGAGCATTATATCAAGATGACATAAGGCCTGACTTAAACTAGAATAGCACCCATGACATGGCTTCTTATAACCAAAAAAAAAAAGGTATTATTGTCAGCTGAGGTGACCACGTCCAGCGTCCTGCCTCCTGTGCTTTCAAATTAATAGTTCTGTCGGATCAACACGATTTGATTGCCCTATCAATTAATTTGACGTATATGCGTTCGTACGACAGATGTGATTGGTGGTCTTGTGTGCGACAAAATTGAAAACAACACATCGTCAGAGTGAAGCAAGACTCAGTGGCAACCACGGATACGTTTGATTTTGATGTATGAGAGCAGTTTAACATCGCTAACAACAATTCATTGCATTGTAGTTTCCTGAACCGCGCCGCACTGATCACGGACGGTGACACCATAGCTGCCGCGGACGGGTCGACGGTGATCCGGCCGTGGCGTGTGTGCACGGTGCAGCAAGTGGAGGACCTGAAGACGGTGCTCCGCATCCTGCCGCTCTGGAGCGCCGCCATCTTTCTAAGCGTGGCCATCGGCGTGCAGATCAACTTCACCATCCTGCAGGCACTCGTCATGGACCGCGCTGTGGGCCGCTTCGTCATACCGGCGGGCTCCATGATCGTTGGCACCCTCATCGCCGTCGTTGTCTCCCTCGGCCTCCTTGACCGTGTTCTCCTCCCTCTGTGGCGGCGCCTCGTAAGGCACGACCCGACGCCACTGCAGCGCATCGGCGCGGGCCACGTGATCACCGTCGTCAGCATGGCCGCGTCCGCCGTCATCGAGCGCCGGCGCGTGGCCACCGTGCACGCGCGCGGCGATGAGGGCAACCCAGCGTGGGTGTCGCCGCTGTCGGCCATGTGGCTGCTCCTGCCGTTTGCTCTGTCAGGGTTCGGTGAGGCTCTGCACTTCCCCGGGCAGGTGACGTTGTACTACCAGGAGTTTCCCCCTTCGCTCAAGAACACGGCCACAGGCATGGTAGCCATGATCGTCGCGCTCGGGTTCTACCTTAGCACGGCGCTCATCGGCATCGTCCGGCGCGCCACGGCGTGGCTGCCGGACAACATGAATGCGTCCAGGCTGGAGAACCTCTACTGGCTGCTCGCCGTCCTGGTGTCTCTCAACTTCGGCTACTACATGTTGTGTGCCAGGTTGTACAAGTACCAGAACGTCGGCAAGAAAGTAACTGAAGTCTGAAGATGCTATGCTAGGTTGAGGGCCATCAGGTGGTGACTTGACACTCGCGCTGCATTCTGGCCAGTTGGTGCATGCTGTGTGTTGTGCGATCATGTACTGAACAAATTTTAAATGTGTCTGCTATGAAGAATAAGATTCTGCTGTATGTGAGAATCTGTATAATAGCTTCATCAGAATTGAATGGTCGATCGTCATCATATATACCTGCCAATGGAATATGCGAGCCGGTCAACCCTTATCAACTCTGGAGAGTCGTCATTTCAGACTAACTGATGAGGAAACTCCTAGTTTTTCTGCCCGAGAAAAACAAAGCCAAAGAAATGTAAGGAACAATAGCTCATTTCAATGTACTCTCCAGACAAGTCTATATATCAGCAAACTTCTCTCAAAGGCAGTCGAAAACTCCCAGAGTTGATCAATTATCAAACAGAACAATAGCTCATTTCAATGTAGTACTAGAACTCCGTAGAAGACAAGCCGTAACGTCCATGGCAACTTCCCTAACACTAAATAGTCAAAAATAGAATAAGAAGAAGAACAATCAGCAAACATTTTTGCACAAGGTCTGTCACCACTGTAATCAATGAGAAAACACACTTGGTTGTACTAAATACAGAAATAAACAATTCCATTCCCAAACTAGAGACTACAGCTCATAGCTAATATCTGTGTATGCAGTTAGATTTGATCACAGAGCTGAAGATCCTACTAATTCCACAGTAAAACTTAACAGAAGACTACAGTCGTATTCCGCCTAGTTCACGGTCAAGTGGAAACAGCTAGAGCTTCCGTGGCCCCTGTTTACAATGGGAAGATCCTTAAAAGGATTGTGAAACAATGCCAAGTTTGTGTCCTCATGAGTTAGTGAAATGATGGTTGCAAGGAAAAGAGTAGACACACACAAACATGGGATAATCTTGAACATGGCAAATAGCCAATTTTCTCCATCAGGCATCAGTCCATGAGCAGGCCAATTGCCTTGCTGGTTCCTAACCCTAGGTCTGCAATAAAAGATTGAAAAACAGTGCAGCTCATCAATTGTGGCCTCTGGATTGTTCATTTTCAGTTATGAATATGGACAATATTGAACTGTTCCATTCAATTTCTTTCACATTCTTGTGTTACCATTCACAAATGATGATGAAACATGGCTTCAATGACAAACTACTGGTGAAAACACAGGATGGAGCAGAAACCATACAAGCCCAACTTGCATGTGACTGAGAACTAGTGCCACAATTGCAGTTGGAATGTGGGTTTCCTAAGAAATTATTTTCTCAGTGATATGTCTTATCTTTTGCCAATTTGGGTGCCCTTTGGTCCGACAGCTATCTGTAAGAGAGCGGTTGCATTGAGAAAGTACAAGCGTCTTGAGGAAGCGGGGTAGTTGCGGCAGTGACTCAATATTTGGGCACTCCTGGATGTTCAGTTCCTTCAGTGATTCCAGATGGTCCAAGTTATCTGGCAAAGAGGTCCAACTGCAGCCTGTAACTGTGAGCCTAAAGATATGAACGAAAAGCTTACCAATCTTGGGGGGAATACATGAACCATTGCAATCCCAGAACATAAGATATTGCAAGTGAGAAACATCTGTGCTGTTCAAATCTCGAGTGTCCTGTTCTCCTGACAACCAACGTGGGTATCTCTGACCATCATAGTTTCTGATGCAAAGTGACGTGCAGCCTGTTTGTTTGGCTGTGGCTTGTCATAAACGATCGTAAATTTTCAGCCGGAACAGTATTTTTCTCTCACACAAACAGGCAGCAGTACTTCTTCACGAACCAGCAACGATGCGAACTAGCCAACCGAACAGGCTGGTGATCTGGGATGGTGGATGGAGTGCCTCAAGTAGCTCCTCTTGAAGTTCTGGGGGGCATCTCTGATGGCGTTTCCATTCTGACACGTTCACAGGTGTCACAGTAGAAAAGAATACCTTCCTCATTTCCTCTATTGCGCTTTGCTTCCTTCTGGAGATTTCATCAATACCGCCCCACTGCAGTGTCAGCTCTGTTAAATGTACCTTGTCAGCTAGCCTGGCTTGAAGAGCTTCCTCCTTGCTCCGAACATTTTCGAGGCATTCAATAAACAGCTTGCCGCGAAGGTTGTTTAGGTGTTCCAGCTGTTGTATTTCATATCCCTTCTCATTTTTAACATAGAAGTGATACAGAGATTGGAGTGATGTTAACCTCCCTATGTTAGGAAAGTTCAAGCCATACCATGTGAGCATGTGCCGCAAATTGATAAGGTTAGACATTTTTTTCCTTGGAAGAACAGCGCAAAAGGGTGTTACGTGGCACAGAGAGCACCTGGAGATGGTAAAGCTTGGTAACTTCGGTTGGCAAAGTCATGTTGCAGGGAGGGGGTGTAGAAATACCAAGGTACCGCAGATGTCTTAGTTCACCTATGCATGCTGGGATCCTTCCCAACCATTGGACGTCCAACTGCACCACCCGCAGCTTCTTTAGACGCATGAGCACACACTTAAAATCATCTTGACTGATCTTCTTGACAGAATAACACATTATTAGAGTGCTCAAGTTTCGCAACTCCAGAATTTGCTCTGGGAATGCTTCTTCATTGTAGGACTCAATGCAAAGATGCCGGACATATTTAGGAATTTGTCCTATGACACCTCTGTTAATTCTAACACAATCGCTGCCGGCAACAGACTCTGCTAAGTCATGCAACAAATCATGAACTGTGAAGTACTCTCCGGAATCAAAATCGGAACTAGTTTTCCTTTTTAGTTAAAGAAATGCACATGAATGCAAGTCAAGGAAGTAGTCCTGGCCCACGTCTTCTACATCCTCCTGCTCTCTTGCATTGATTGCCTTAACAAAGCCCTGTGCAATCCACATATGAACTAGTGTATCTCGTTCCAACTCATATCTTCTGGGAAAAATATTGCAGTACTCGAAACATCGCCTGACATCCACATCAAGTTGCTGATAGCTCCACCACAGAGCTCCCTTTGTCTTATTCAATAAGTCTAGTCTCGCGGCTGTTTCCCAAAAACTGATATCTGGGTTTCTCCAAAGCTTCCCGGCCACTGTTACTGCTGCAATAGGTGATCTGTGTAGCTTTTTAGCAATCTTTCGCCCAATTGGTATGTATTTTCGATCATCAAAAATTGTACTGTCTAGTGCATAATGCATGAACATTGAGAAGTATTGTTCCTCATCCAAATCAGATATTGAAATAAGGTTGTTAGCACCTAAAGCTGCCTCTTTATTTCGGGCAGTCACCAGGATTCTGCTTCCTCTCTTCCCAACATTGAAGGGAGAAAGTATCTCCTCCAGGTCCTGGTGATTCTCATCGTTGACCCAAAGATCATCCAGTACCAATAAGAAACGTGTGCCGCTCAATTTATCGACCAACTTTGCTTGCAGAGCTTTACAACCACTAATATCAGAGTGCCGATCTTCAGTGATCGCCTCAAGCATATCATGAAGTATATCATTCACTCTGAAAGTCTCAGAAACATGAATGAGCATGATTGGGTTGAAATATTTCTCTTTATTTTCATTTTCATGGTCACAAACATATTGTGCCAGTGTAGTCTTTCCAGACCCTGCAATGCCATGTATGCAAATCACAGAATAACATTTACTGCTACTAGTGCCTGGTGCGTGATCATCTGGTTCCTCACAAAGCATACTCTGTATCATACGACGCTCCCTATCACGACCAAACACTTTCCGTGTAGTACTTGATGTAATGCTTCTCCTGTTCATGTTGCCAATATCATTCCATCCACTACTGCTTTGTTGCTTCAACAGAGGACATTTCCGTGCATCGGTGACAACATTTTCTAGCTCCTTTATTCTTTTCCTCAAGTGCCATCTGGCAATAGTAGGCATGAAAGAATCTACAGCAATGCCATCCTCCTGCAAGAAGCAAGTCTCAACTGATTATAAAAAGTACATGCTCAACTCGTACACTATAATGAGTATTGTCACTGATTAAAAATATAAGTGGTTCTAGCAATGTGTGCAACCCAATTTATTTTTCAGTTAGAATACCAAATCCCTTTATGTGTCTACGGGTTCATTTATAGAACTGCATCTCTCTGATGCAGCAAGTATGTTCCCACTAAGTAACAAATGAAGCTAAAGCTTGTTGCTTCCGTCTCTATTTCTGACACCTTTCTGTTATCTGTGTATTAAGTTATGGCCTATGTCACGATAAGCTATCTGTCATGATCGGCAAGACATACGCCAGAAGGAGACACCCGAATAAGGCAACAGGCTAATTATTTAGTGAGGGGCATAAGCCCAGCCGTTTATAGATTCGGTTTTGATGAATAGCCAGGTTCATGGGCCAAGCCCATTAGCAATTGTAAACCCCCTTATATATATGAGGGAGAACAGCAATGAGAAGGCAAGCAAGTTTAGGGTTTAACCCTTATCTCTTCCCCCTCTCTTCTCTCCCTGCCGCCTCTCTCCTTCTCCCCTGCGCGCTAACTCCACCGCCCGCACAGCAGCCAGCCGCTGCTGCCCAGCCCTTGCCAGCCCGCCGTCTCCCAGCCAGCCCGGTCGCCGCCCAGTCAGCCACAGCCGACTGCCCGCCGACTCCAGCCGGCCATCAGGCCGCTCACGCCGGCCCTCAGACGCGCAGATAGGCCTCTGCCGGTTATTCTGCCGCACCGGAGATTAAACGCGTGACACTTTCTGTCAGGTATTGGCAGAGAAGCTAAAGCTTGGATGCTGTAAATGTTGAATCTTTTGATCCTGAGAGTAATGCTAACGCACTGGAACCGCTGTTGTAAATCATGTTCCCGCTTCTTCTTAATGCAAAATGGGCCACTATGGGTCTGTTCAAGAAAAATGCTAACGCACTGGGGGTTTCTTGTGCTGGAACTCTAAGTAATAAATGAAGCTTGCACTTTTGCTGGCAAGAAGACACAGTAGTGCTTTTATGATGATGAACTCTACTCAATTTAATCAGAGATAAACAAAAGTCAAGATTACCATATCACAAACTACATAATCTCTTGTATAGCACTAAAACATACAAACTTGATTTCCGTAGTGGAGTACTGCCTTCTTGTATAGCGCTAAAACACAGTCTGAATTGAGACCTCGCAAGAAAATGGATTTATCCAGAACAAAGGGAGAACTAGAAAATACATTGTTGATAAAATTCTTGTAGCTGGAACTCGGCATGAGAGTAGGGTGATACCTGGTAACATGTGCTGCCAACAATGGCGTCGTAGGACCAGTCCCGGCACGAACAGGCAATCTCAATTACATTGGTGGACCAGGTGAGTATGGACTTATGCCAGCAATGGAGCCTCCTCATGAAGGAAACTGAGGGCACGCGAGAAACTGGCAGCAACACGGCTGATCTGTGTAGGGTGGCCTGCATGCATCGCACAGTTGGGTACAAGCTCAGCGCCAAAAATTGTAAAGCAGCTCGGGTGGTGCGCAAGCAGAGCCCCAACCAACTCCCCTTGCAACAGGTAACACAAGCCCTGATGGCTTTGGAGAGGCACTGGAACAACCAATTCAGCCAGCTGCGGCATTATGGCTCAGAATCACCGTCACCTATGATGTTCTTCTCGATTTGGTAATAATCGATGAGATCCAGAATGTCTTCTCCTTGGTACAAGGCTGACTTCACATCCTTGGCCAGTAAGTCGAGTGTGCTCACAGCAGATCTTTCTTTTCTCGCTTTTCTCTGCATCCTCTGCTCCTCTATGTCCCTCAGCACCTGCTTCATTTCTGCGATAGTGTGAATCTCCAGCTCGCGAAGTTTTCGCGAGGCATCAAAGCCGATGTTGGAAAGGATCTTGTTCAGGAGCAAGTTGATGATGGGCGACAGGTACCAACCAAATACGGTTATGACCCACCCCGCCGCTGCAATCCTCCATGAATTTGCCATGGAGGTTTTCCAAAAGGTGGGTGAGGGGAGGGGGATGGATCTGTAAGGTTCTCGGTCTTCTTGGAAGCACAAAATTAAACTGGAGGACTATTCAACGTAATTCCTGCCAAATAAAAAATCATCGCTGAGGACCGTGAGTTAAATAAGGCCACGACAGCGACCGGAGTAAGGATTGTTCTAGAAAATGTTGAGATAAGTCCTGAGCTTCCTAATTATAGCAGGCAGAGGCGGTTAGCGTTATTAGCGGCCACGCAAGGATTGCGGCATGGTCCAGGTAGTTGGGAAGACAACTATCTATCACGAGCATGCCGGGATTGGCTTGGTCATTTATTTTCATGTAACAATGCATGTACTTCCTTTAAATAGAGATAACAAGCAACAGAAAACGTTGCCGCTTTGCCGCAACAAATCATCGTGTGTCCACTGTGTTCGCGTGTGTTGTTCATCTTCTTCCTCTCGCCGGTTCGGGATTCTAACAGTTGGTACCAGAGCTAGGTCCCGACGTCGCCATGTCGCAGTCACCATCCAAGAAGCTGCTGACTGGTGATGCCTCTGGCGAGAAGAAGGTCCAGTCGTCGAAATCGCCGCCACGTCGCCGTGGCCGCTCTCACAGCCGCCGCTTGCGCAACCGGGACGCTGGGTCGCGCATCGTCGAGCGCATCATTGAGCGACCATCGGCGAACGTCGCGTGGCCGATGTCGACCCGGACAAACTATTCGGAATGCCGACCCTCCGAGCTCTGGAGCACCCTCGCCGTCAAGCGCACGGTGAAAGAGGCGTGGGACGCGGTCAAGAACTTGCGGATCGGCGACGAACGTGCGCGCGACACCAGCGCGCAGCAGCTCCGCCGGGAATTCGGTAACCTCTCCTTCAAGGAAGGGGAAAGCGTCAACGAGTTCGGCATCCGCATCACCGCGCTCACCACCAACCTCTGCTCCCTCGGCGACAACATCACCGACGCTGAGGTAGTGAAGAAGCTGCTGCAAGTGGTCCCTGAAAGGCTGAACCAAGCCGTTGTCTCCCTCGAGATGTTCCTTGATCTGAATAAGGTCACCATCGAGGAGGTGGTTGGACGGCTGCGCGTGTTCGAGGAGCGCACCAAGCTGAAGCAGGTCACGGACGCCATGGGACGCCTGATGCTCTGCGAGGAAGACTAGGAAGCCCGCCGCAAGGCACGCCGTGAGCAGGAGAACTCCGGTGGCGGCTCCAGCTCCAACAACCGTGGGAAGCGCCGTGGGCGCGGGCGCGGACGCGGCGGTGCAGGATCCTCATCGCGCGATGGCCACGACGGCCAGAACGCGGGCGCCGGAAACGCCGGTGGCGGAAAGCCACCGCCCAGCACTCTCTGCAATAACTGCGGCAAAAGTGGCCACTGGGCCAAGGATTGCCGCGGGAAGAAGAAGGGCACGGCCCATGTCGCGTAGGCCGAAGAAGAAGAAGGGGCGCTGAGGTACATCACCGTGGACGCTGAGGCCTGCGTCCACCTCGTTGAACGGAAGGTTCTCCTCCACCTCAGTGAGGAGGAGAAGGAGGCTGTAGGGCCTCGCCGCTGGGTGCTTGATACCGGCGCGATGAACCACATGACGGGGTCACGGTCTGTCTTCGCCGAGCTCAACACCGGTGTCGCCGGAACTGTCAAGTTCGGTGACGGATCGGTGGTCGCCATCGAGGGAAAGGGCACCGTCCTCTTCGCCTGCAAGAACGGGGAACATCGTCACCTCGACGGTGTCTACTATATCCCGCGCCTCACCACCAACATCGTCAGCCTCGGGCAGATGGATGAGGACGGGTTCAAGGTTGACATCGAGTCTGGGATCTTGCGCCTCTATGACTTGCAGCGACAACTCCTCGCCAAGGTACATCGCTCGGCGAGTCGGCTATACTTCCTCGACATGAACATCGCCGCTCTGGTGTGCCTCACCACACGTGTCGGTGACGTGGCATGGCGCTAGCATGAGCGGTATGGTCACCTCAACTTCCAAGCACTGCGCAAGCTCGGGCGTGCGGACATGGTGCGAGGACTACTGGCGATTGACCACATAGATCAAGTCTGCGAGAACTGCGTCCTAGCGAAGCAGAAACGCACGTCGTTCCCGCTGGCCGCGAAGCACCGAGCTCTGGAGAAGCTCGAACTTGTCCATGGTGATATCTGTGGACCGATCTCGCCGCCAACACAAGCCGGGAACGCCTACTTCCTATTGCTGGTTGACGATATGAGCCGCTACATGTGGCTCACGCTTCTACGATCTAAGGCAGACACGTCGGCGGCAATCATGGAGTTCCAGGCTCGCGTTGAGCGTGAGACGGGCAAGAAGCTGAAGGCCCTGCGGACTAACAATGGAGGGGAATTTACTTCTGTCGAATTCGCTGAACATTGTGCAGGTGAAGGTGTTGAACGTCACTTCTCGGTGCCATACTCGCCACAGCAAAATGGCGTTGTAGAGCGACGTAACCAGATGATCGTGGAGACAGCAAGGAGCATCCTGTGCGCGCGGGGTGTGCCTGGACACTTCTGGGGGGAGGCGGTGCACACCGCCGTGTACCTCCTCAACCGGGCATCGACGGCCGTGCTCGACGAGAAGACCCCCTACCAGGCGTGGTATGGGAAGAAACCCCCCGTGCACTTTCTGAAAGTGTTTAGATGCGTCGCCTACATCAAGCGCCTTCGCTCGCACCTCACCAAGCTCGACGACCGCAGCCAGAAGGTCGTCTTCATCGGCTACCAGAGCGGGTCTAAAGCATATCGCTTCTACGACCCCGCGACGGAACGAGTCCACATCTCGCGCGACGCGATCTTCGACGAAAGCGCGCGCTAGGACTGGGCAGACACTTCCATCGACCTCGACCTGGAGCCCTTCACCATTGAGGAGGAGTACGAGCTCCAGCGTCGTACTACTGGTGTACTGCCGTCGGATGCGTCATTGTCTGCACCTACGACACCGTCCACCGCCCAAAAGTCTCTTGCGCCTGCCACATCGCCCGTACCTACTACATCCACCGATACACCGTCGCCACGTACTCCGATCGCTCCCACAGGGATGCATGTCGAGTTCGCGACGCCTCTCAGCGATGATCCTAACCTCGACGCTGATGATGACGAGGACGTGGAGCACAGGTACAGGAGGCTGGACAATATCCTCGGAACGGATGCCATTCCAGGTCTGGCGCACCGCGATGCCGTTGAAGCTGAACTCCATGCAGTCAGCGTGGAGGAGCCGAAATCGCTGAAGGAGGCCAGCGACGATCCAAACTGGATTGCTGCGATGGAGGAGGAGATGAACTCCATCTGTGACAACAAAACTTGGTCGCTGGTGGAGCTTCCACGAGGACACCGCGCCATCAGGCTCAAGTGGGTGTATAAAGTCAAGCGCGACGAGAACGGGAACATTGCCAAGTACAAGGCCCGCCTCATCACCAAGAGGTACATACAGCGCCCCGGCATCGACTTTGAAGAAGTGTTCGCCCCCGTTGCCCGGCTGGAGTCAGTGCAGCTGCTGCTCACCATCGCGGCGCACTACGACTGGGGTGTTCATCACATGGACGTCAAGTCGGCGTTCTCGAACGGGGAGCTCTAGGAGGAAGTGTACGTTCAGCAACCTCCTAACTTTGTCGACGACAAGCACAAGTACAAGGTGCTCCGGCTTCACAAGGCGTTGTACGGACTTCGCCAAGCTCCGCGCGCCTAGAACCAGAAGCTCGACGCCGAGCTGCTATCGCTCGGGTTCACGCGCTGCGTCGATGAGCACGGGATGTACACCCGTGGTGAAGGAGGAGGACGCCTGATCGTGGGCGTGTACACCGACGACTTACAGCCTGTTCGGGAGGCCGTATCGTATCGTGGATTATTTACTGCTGGCTGGTTTGGTGTGAGAGGAAAACACTGTTCCCGGCTGAAAATTTACGATCGTTTACGAGCAAGCGAACAGGCCGTTAATTATCATAGGTGGTGATGCAGGTGCCATGGCGAAGTTTAAGATGCAGATGCGGAACATCTTCCGCACGAGTGACCTTGGGCTCCTCTCCTACTACCTTGGCCTCGAGGTCACCCAGGGAGCCCGAGGGATCACGCTCCGCCAAAGCGCCTACGCCACCAAGATTCTTGAGAAGGCAGGGCTGGCTGGATGCAATGCCAGCGCCACGCCCATGGAGATGAAGCTAAAGCTGCTGAAGGGGGGTTCGACGTCGAGCGTGGACGCCACCGAGTACCGCAGCCTCATTGGTAGCTTGAGGTACTTGTGCAACTCTAGGCCGGACCTAGCGTACTCGGTGGGCTACCTCAGCAGGTTCATGGAGGCGCCGCGGCAAGAGCATCTCGCAGCTGTTAAGCGTGTCCTCCACTATGTTGCGGGCATGGTGCACTGGGGTCTGCACTACCACCCGGGAGGAGGCAAGGACACCGTGCCACACCTGATGGGCTACTCCGACAGCGACTTGGCAGGAGATGTCAATGACAGGAAAAGCACCAGCGGACTCATCTTCTTTCTCGCCGGCGGGCCGATTGCATGGCAGTCGGCGAAGCAAAAGGTGGTCGCACTATCCTCTTGCGAGGCGGAATACATTGCAGCTGCCGGAGCTGCGTGTGAAGGGGTTTGGCTGGCTCGGCTGCTGGCTGAACTCATCGGAGGAGCTGTCATCGCGCCCAAGCTCAAGGTGGACAACAAGTCCGCCAGCGCACTGATGAAGAATCCTGTGCACCATGACCGGAGTAAGCACATAGACGTGAAGTTTCATTTCATCCGGGAATGCTGCGACAGGAAGCTGATCGACGTCGAGTTCGTCGGCATTGAGCTGCAGCCGAGTGACATTCTCACGAAGGCGCTCGGCCGCAGTCGGTTTCAGAAACTCCGTGGTGGGATCGGCATGAAAAACTTAGTTTAGTTGCTCTAGGACTTAGGAGGAGATTGTTGAAATAAGTCCTGAGCTTCCTAATTATAGCAGGTAGAGGTGGTTAGCGCCATTAGCGGCCGCGCAAGGATTGCGGCATGGCCCAGGTGGTTGGG